CAGCATACTGGACCATTTCAAAGAACAGTGGAGAGGCACGAATGGGCTCTAAACCACTCCTTAACAATATGTTGTCGTCCACGTCTAACATCAATCTCCCCAACATATGGAAATTGGTAGGGTAGCAGAAATTCTTTGGCATTGTTTCTGTGTTTAAAATGACAAATGCGCTTTTAAAACTGAACACTTGCATCATATTTTAGGTTTTAGCAAGTGGAAAGTTAAGATAGATCTGTTAATGCGCTTAATGATACATGACCACAGAGGGTGAGTCAACTCCTGAACTGTCTGTACAGGGCAGACAGCCTTTTAACTTCCAGAACTCATTCACTTTCAACAGGAGACCAGAGAAGACACCTATCCTATCAGCCAAAGACTTTGCTCGTTCTTCCACTGCAATGTTTTTCATTATGTAGTCAGTGCTTATGTCAAAAAAATTAACAATCATTAATAGATATGGGCTTGCCACCAAAAGATCCGTCTCTCCCCCATGATTCCAAATTGGATGAAGTGATTGGATAATAGATAAGGATTAATTTGTATAGCAAACCAAATTATGTCATTACATATTGGGGTGGTATTTAGTGCTCCTGCCTTATAAATTCAAGGGCATGTGTTTGATTCTGGAGTTTGACACCATGTGGTATTCTTTCTGTGATCCTGTGGGTGTTTGCCATGTACTGTACTCCGGTTCTTCCTAAAGTTGTGTAGAGTAGGTTTGATTGGCTAATATAAATCAGAATATGAGTTTATTTCTAATTAAGATCATATGTTTTTTTTAAAGCAAAGCATTTGTTTAAGGAATCTTCATTCTCTTTCCATTATTTTTGTTTTCTAAGAAAGCTGTGTTGTGTTGGAGTATCTAGATTAGAATCACCATGCAAGTTTCTCCAGTATGTACCATTTCAGAAAAAGATTCTCATGCTGAAAAAGAAGAATATACAGTATGATTATAACTCAGGTTTATTGTCCAGGTCTTACTAAATTGGCTTGTTAGCAGTGTTGGCAAACCTTCCTGTGTATGTTTATTGTCTTTACACAATAAACCCATAATAAATAAGTGAAAACAACAAAAAATGTAACTCACTGTAAAATGTGAGTAAAGACATGTCCCTTTTCCACAATTTCAGATTTAGAAAGATCATGGATGTTGTTTTTTTCTTTGTGATTCACAGATGTTGTGAAAATGCATAAAAGCAGGATTTGAAAAATGGATTTGAAAAAAATTCCACTCTTTAATATGCTTCCAAAGGGTAATTGTAGGGACGCGCCCCATACTGAGTCACACTGGCAAGCAGACAGGAAGTAATCTGCTGGAAAAGGCTGATGTGCAGATTTGGAGAACAATGAGTGCGCATATTTTTTAATAGAAAATGCTGTAGATTAACTTGAAATCACCACAATATTTGTGTCTTGTATTACACTCAGTAAATATCTGCATTCCCTTTGTAGATAAGAAATATTATTTTAGTTCACAGTTTTGACATCTGCAACCTACAGTAAGTAAACTCTGAACAATATTTATGACAATTAGATTACACAAAATATTTCCTGTAAATGTCTCCTTACTCTATGTACTAGTAAAATAGAGAATATTTAGGACTTTGAGGGCAATTTTAACAAACTATTTCAAGTTTTTAATTATGTTTTCATGTTTTTTCTCAGCAAAAGAGGCACATTTATACTTTTTACCTTTATAATTTGTTGTCTTTGATAATCTCATCTCATCTCCTGGTGAGGTTCACATTGGTAACTGGCCAGGGAAAAGTAGACCAGATTTCCCTTTCCCCAGTAAGTCTCCAGCTCCTTTGGGAGGATTCCCAGGTGTTCCCAGGCCAGCTAAGAGATACAATCTCTCTAGTGTGTCCTTCTCCAGGGTCTTTTCCCTTCTCCAGGGCATGATACACCTCCAGGAAGAGGTCCCAGGGGACATTCCTCATCAGATTGTTTTTTTCTCAGAATAAACTTTATTTCACAACAAATATATCACAATAAGTACACATTCATGCAAAGTCATGCAATCTCTCATTTCTACTGTATCACAACAGTTCTTTAAAAGGGTGATTGTCTTTTATCAATCAGAGCAAGTGGATGTTGGGGCTGGATTTGCACAATGAAAGAGTCCCTCCAAACCCTATCACTTGCTGTCATCCATGCCTTTCCCCTGTCCCGGCTCTGAAACTGCGCTCGTCCAGTCCTCCGCAGGACTGGACTGTACAGGGCCCACAATCCCTTCCAGCACTCCTTTGCTGTTACGAAGCCCCAGGTCTCACTTCATCCTCCTTCTGAGGTTCACAAGCATCCTCTCCTCCAGCTCCCTCGCTCCCCTTTTCAGTGTGGCGCTGGATGAGAGTGTTCCTTTCGTTCCACAGTCCTTGTTTTGTTAGGGATACCGGCAGCCATAGCAAGTACTGTGTCCCTCTGTCCAATCTGGTTGGTGTGAGCCCCAGCATCTGAGCACCATTTCCACTCCCAGAAGTTGTGTAGTGTTGTCCATTCTGCCCCACAATGCTTTGGCGAAGGGGCAGCTCCAGAACACATGCTCCTGTATTTCTTTGAAACAGTGTCCCAGGGGCAATGCGGGTTCCTGGTGACTGAGTGTCTGTAGAGGACCTTTCTGGTCGCCAGCCTTTGGTGCACTGCCACTCAGTTGAGGTCCTTTAGCTTGTTGTCCAGTTCTTTAGGCTGCGTTCTTTCCCAGACTTCTCTGGGAATCCGCAGCCTCTCTCTGGCTACCAGTTGCCCTCTCACCGCCTTGTACAGGGCCCTGTGGTTGGTGCAGAGCTCTGGCTTTCTCGTGGGCTCGTACCTCCAGCTCCCCTTGACAGTGTGGGTGTAGGTCTCCGGTCGCTTTTCTGCTTTTGGTCCCAAGAACTGCACCAGTGGGAGGTCGAGTCCATTGACCCTGTCTGGGTCATCCCTCAGGAGAAACCGGTATTGGCGTTTGCCAGTCCAGACACTGAGCTCTTCCCTCACGTCCTGGGGCTGGGATATCACATTCACGTGCCGTGTCAGGAAAGCTGTAACCAGCTCCGTTTGGCACATGGGGGTCATACATTAGAAGCGTGATGGTTTCTCCTTTCTCATGGGTTCCAACCATGAAATTACAAACTGGAGATTTAGATCCCAGCTCCCTACATTTTTTGTTACCTTCTGGTATCTCTCGTCGGAAAGCCAGGAAAACCTCCATGTACCTTTCTGATCGATTCTGCAGGATGCAGAAGACTTCCCCCTCTGTGTGTTGTAGCAGTACCTGGAGGACAGCCGGCATGAAGTGGCAATGTGTCGGCATCTCCTCTCCCATCTTCTTCCAGTGGAAGTGCACTGTATTCCTGGTGTTCAACATTCCTGAGGAGGGGAACAAACACGAGGCTGTGGTGAAAGACAAGAATAGAGGGAACGAGTCCTGGCCTTGTTTTGCTCGGGGTTACCCCAGCCAGGTGCAGGCGCAGGGAGAGTCACAGGGAGAGAACCTTCGCTGGTCTTGAGAAGGGAGATGATTACTGGGTTTATTTTGTTGGGGGTAAATGTTATATATACTGTATGACATATGACATTTGCAATGGTTCTTTTTGCCCCCTATTGACAAGTCATAGGTGAAGTACCCTTGCTTGTATAATACTTTTTTAAAATCCATGCTCATATATACAGTTGGTTGTACTTTATCATGTGTGAGAGAGAATTTGACTGCATTTTGCACTTTTTTTTTCCATCTTGGTTCATTTTGCTCTGGAAGCCAGTTATTTTTGTCAACGAGTCAGAAGAGGACGAAACCACAATATCCCAGTTGTGAAACAGGGAAAGGCTGAATTTCCTGTAGAGCACATGATAGCTCCATTTGTTGTCTGGGTCAGTCACTCACTTTAGAACCACAGTATATGATTTCTGAATCCTTTGTCTGGGTGTTTCTGTCTGCATAGCCTGCAATATTTTTTTTTAATTGGAAAAGGATTCTATATTGCACTTTGAATGACTATTCTGACTAACCACATAACTACAGCTTTTTATGTTATTCTGTACTTTTCACAATGTGTGTTTGCTAAAGAAAACATGAATTCATCAAAAATAAAAAAAAACATTTTTTAAAAAAGAATATACAATTAAGAAAGGGAGCATCATTATATGTGGAATTTTTACAGTTCGATAAGCGCGACATATTTGTACGTTTATTTACAGGACGTCTTTGTGTCTGCATGTCTCTTTGGCTGTTGTTATAATACTGTTGCTTAATAACTACAGGAACACGTAATTCAATCTAGAAAAAAAATAGGGTATTTAATCATATTGTAACGCTCCCGGGGTTCGCCGACGGGAAGAAACAGGCCAGAGGCTCTGGCACGGGTTGGCAGGACCTTTATTAAAGACGCTGAGGGGGGTTACACACATTTGGACAGTGGAGATACAGCACTGCACTGCAACACATCTTCACAGACACAAGAGGGAAGAGGGCGTCTCCGGCCCTCGCCTTACTATATACGGGCCCCTCAACCCCCAGTTCGCAGCCTGCCTAGCGTGTGCATGGCTACAGCGCCCCACGTGGGCGCTACAATATCAATAAACTTTACTGATCATTTGAATATATGCAAGTTTTCCTATTACACATCTGAAATGGAATCTTTGGATTAAATGTGTATTGCAGCAAAAAAATACAGTACATTACAGACACTGTTAATAACTACTCAAAATGAATTGATCTGAGCAAAAACTCGGCACCTAAGCGCACAAATAGATGAGTAGATATCTGACACATAAAAAGGCACTAAATGGTTAATTTGTATAGGAGGGGGAAACCTTTTTTTTTCCCAGTGCACCAGGAGGGAAAAGTCCTGCCCTGATACATGACATCATGCTGGACAAAAAAGCCGAAAGAGCCGACTAGGAAGGAGGAGTTGGATGATTATTTTTTAGTTCCGAACGGACAGTCACAAATGGCTTCGAGTCTAAAGGCTTTTTAAAACACCGAGCTTAGACGACACTTTATAACGTTATACCTTGAAGTAACGGAAGTCAACGGGAATGCATAAATTAAGGGTTGCTTTATGAAGCTTTTTAAGATCACTTTTACTGGCTGAAGGGTGCACTGTGAATAATCTGTTTTCTGGCTGGTAAGTTCTTTGTCTAATTTCAGCATCAATATACTAGTTTTCCAAATAATGGTTCCTTGGATGATATCTTCTCATATCTGAGAGTGAAAGATATGAGAGAGTGAGTTGTAGAGCAATGCAGTTTCCGACTTTTTATGGCTGACGTCCACATTTTTAGCGAATCCCTTTGTTTTGTATTTATTTGTTATTGTACAGTATCTATTTTTCCTCAATAAGATGTCCTCAATCTTCGCATGATAATCCTAAACTGCCTAAATTAAGAATATTAAGTTAATACTAGTTCGTTAAATGAACTGTTGTGAATGATACGCGATTTTATTGTTACATTCGGTCATTCCAATTACTTATTAGAACTAACTTAAAACATAAAATGTAAGTAACTACAGTCTCGGTGCGACTGTTTTGAAATGAAGCCTGTGACTTGTTGAGGTCGGAGCTTTTTCTATAATTAAATATAATAGTCAGCAATAGTAAATTAAACGGACTTTACACTTGATTTTCAGTGAATAGACGTTTTAGATTCTAAGAAAGTGTCATTATTAAAGATACCTGATTCAACTAGAATGAGCAATCTCCATATTCCTAGCAGGATAACAATTTACTTGGTTATACGTAAGCATTGGTAATAACTTGTTTCGGGACGAGACTTTGGGAAAGTTTCATTTCCTTGAAGCCAAGTAAAAGAACTGATTGTCAGTGTGCAGAATCCCCGTGTTTCTCTGCTGATTATTCTACATCCTGTGAAATAACTGAAGTTTGTGAAATTAAAACGTTCTTATACATATTAAAAATGTAAGAAGTACGAAAATTCATTTTTTTGTGAATATCAAAAACACACATTCCCACAAAATATAAATACGCCTAGGGCTATGAATAAAGATCTTTCTTATTCACGTATTATGTATTTTAAGCAATATTACTGTTGCAATATAGTATAGTAATGTTTAGTATAGTAAGTATATTTCTACAATTGTAATGTTAAATCAGGGTAGTTATCATGAATAAACAATAATTAAACAATTAAGCATTCCATAATTCAATGATAGATTAAGATAAAGCTTTAATACATAATTTAAAAAATGCAAGTGCTGAAATGATTTCATGAGTGAACCCCTTATTCTTGTAAACACTTTGATGCCTCATTATAAAACACAGTCTGGTCAGTTTATCAGGATACTGAAGTCTTGGACTGTGCAAAATAAGAATGCCAGTCTTTAAAATCTATTTTACAGTTGGTGTTTCCCCCCTGATGTTAATTTGCTGAAGCTCACTTGTTTGTGCCACAAAAACGATCACTGAAGATATAATCATAATTAATAATTGCTTACACTTATAAAGCACTTTTCTGGACACTCCACTCAAAGCGCTTTACAGGGATCCCCTCCACCACCACCAATGTGCAGTATCCACCTGGATGATGCGACAGCAGTCATAGTGTGCCAGAACGCTCACCACACACCAGCTCTCAGTGGGGAGGAGAGCAGAGTGATGAAGCCAATTTATAGGTGGGAATTATTAAGAGACCATGATTGGTAAGGGCCAATGAGAACTTTGGTCAGGACGCCGGGGTGTACTCCCGGTCTTTTCGTTCCATTTATTTATTCCATTTTATTAAAAAAAATGGGAATGGTTCTTGTGAATATGCTATTTCATTTTAAAGCTGAGCTTTCAAAGCCTCTTGATGAAAATTACAGATCTCACATTTTATTCTGCCATTTACAGTATTTAAGAATATGATTTCAACACACAGCTGCAACAGCTGCATAGTTGTTATTATATCAATTTCCCAGGGTCCTTGATACAATCAGAGTAGTGCCCATGAGAACTTATTGAGATAGCATTTTAATTAGACATGGTGTGAGACATCATGAATCTGAGCCACAGCTTTTTCCAGAGCTATGCAAGACGTTGAGCAGTTTTAACTAATCCAGCACAATAGAATATAAAAGGATATCTTTTCCATGTATTTATTGTTTATTCAACCAAAATAGAATAAATACACACAATTAGAAATGGAAACATGAACAGAAGCGGAATTCAAGTAATTGGATCTGATTTTATCCTTTAGACTCATTTTAGATTTTGCCTTGTGATGAAGATTAAGTGGTAAAATATACATCTATTCTATAGGTAGCATTTCAAAAGCTTGGATTTATATCTCAATATATCTATTACTCACATTAGCATGTGGAAATGTCATTTTTTTGCCTGGAAAGACAAAACTTTCATCAGTTCTGTGTCATCAGTTTTGCCTGGTGTCAGATATTTGATGTTTGTTATAGCACTTTACTTAGTTGAGTAAAGTGGTTTCCTTGATCTCATGCAGATTTTTTCAGATATATTCATTCAATTAAAATAGAAGGTCAAACTGTGGTTTTGTTGCTATTTAAAAATAACATCAAGGAACAGTTGGATTTAGGACAGTTATTTTTTAATACTTTTTGCACGTGTCCAAGGTTTTTATAAAACTAAGAAAGCACTCAAAGTTGTTAAATTTGTCTAATTTAGACAGTAATAGGCTGATAACACCGAGTTGGATGAAAACCAATACACTATGTATCATAGTCCTTCCAGCATACTGATAGTTATAGTTACTAATGTGTATGACGTCTCCTGCCTGGTTAAGAGAAGTAGATAAAGTGATAGTTACCCCATGCTTGTGACCTGCATTGGTCTGAGTGGAATATCTCTCCACTTAAAAGGGAACTAATGCAACACATGTATTGTATGATCTGCATGTAGAGATGTGCAATTGTGCTCTGCATATGCATGTAAGGACCACTATTTTGGGGAGGAAGGGTTAATTTCATTCTTTGCTGCCTATCCATATAAAACAACCACAAACCGTATTTTTATGTTTACTGCTCAGCATTCATGATTCCTGATACATTTTAAGACGGATCAGGCGTTACATATGATGAATGTTGTTGCTTAAGAACAGTGGAGCGGTGGCTAAGGATCTGCGCCTGTGGCTGGAAGGTTGCTGGCTCAAATCCTGCAGCCGCCAGAGGAATCCTACTCCATTGGGCCCTGGAGCAAGCCCCTTAACCCCAACTGCTCCAGGGGTGCTGACAACGGCTGACCCTGTGCTCTGACCCCAAGCTTCTCTCCCTGTCTATGTGTCATGGAGAGCAAGCTGGGGTATGTGAAAAGACAAATTCCTAATTCAAGAAATTGTATGGGGCTAATAAAGTGATGTTATGTTAATTACCAGTTATGGCAGATAAGTAATACTCATAAGTCATTCCTAGTGCTGCTGCTGATTACATCTTAAACTAAAAAAGAACAACAATAATAGCAGTTAGCCTAGATGTTAATATTATTATTCATGGCTTCTGAGTCTTGAATGTGGCTATAGAAAGTGACATGGGTTGTTTCTGGGAAAGTTAAAATGTTGTGCTGTGTGCTGTAAGTGGTTAGTGTTAATATGTAAAGTGATTTACTGTACAGTGCTCTGTAGCCCTTTTAAGATGTGCTTTTAGTCTGTTGGAAGACCATGTAATGGTCATTTTAGTTTTAATTTATGGTCTTGAATATTACTGCTGGTAAATGACTTTATTACGGAAGCGTACAACAGTGAAGTCTTGGTGAGAAATATTCATTAAAACAGTGATGAATAATTAATAGTATAAAAATGGTGGCACAGTGGTTAGGATTGGTGCCTTGCAGCTCTGGGGCCCTGGGTTCAGTTCCTGGAGTGCTATCTGTGTGATGTTTACATGTTCTCTCTGGGTTTGCATGGGTTTTCTCCGGGTACCCCGGTTTCTTCCCGCAGTCCAAATACACTGGTAGGTTAATTGGCTTCTGGGGAACTTTGTGCCAGTGTGAGTTCATGCATATTTGTGTGCCCTGTGATGGACTGGTGTCCTGTCTAGGGTATCTCTTGCCTTGAACCCAGTGCTTCCTGAAATAGGCTCTGGACCACCGTGACTCTGAATTAGATAAGCAGTTATTGAAATTGATGTGATGTTCAATTGATATAAAAATGCAGTAATTAATGAAAGTCAGCTTAAAATTGTTCTAATGTTTCTTGACTGGGAAGCTTTACTGGCCTTGTTGTTTTTGAAATTGTTAGGTTTTGAGGTTCAACTTCCTTTAAGCTGCCCTTACCTGCAGTGCCTTCTGTGAATTGCTCTGAATTTACTATGTTAATCAGGGTTTTAGAAAAGTTTTGATTAATGTCAGTAATTTAAGTTTGTATTAGCATATTAAGTGCACAATTTAGTAAGAAAAGTATGCCATTATTTAGTGAGGGATGAAGAAAACAACAAATCAAATGTAAACATAATGTTAAATTCTAGCTGCTTTAATAAGGCAGTCATTGTTTCTGAATATATAAACAATTCCTAAGAATGTTCTGTAATTGTAAATCAAAAAAGGCTTATTTGTGTAGTACAACATGTCCCGTTTTAAATACACACTTATTTTTTCCACATTGTCCATTTGAATATTTTTTTAAACACAGTCATGTTTTGATTTATTTTTTAAATGACCTGTGTTTTTCAATTGAAATAAGGTCATCAAAAGCTAAGCACATCGCTTTTGACACCACAGACATTCTCTGAGAAAGAGTGTGGCCTTTGGTTTTGAAGTTAGTGCAGCAACAACTACAATACAACCTAGCCCGGAGCTGTAATAGGAAAATACTGTACCTCACAAAAATAAAACCTTGCATCAGCAATCCTATTTATAAAACAGTGAACAAAAATGCAAGGTTGAATATTACTGCTCTCACCACATCCTTTTAAGCTTTGAGAACATATGGAAGCAACAATTAAATTAAAAAATCCTGTTTCAGAAGAAAGTGGTGCTTTAAGAACTATCTTTAAGTTTCTTTCTGTTTTAATGCCCTGAGCTGTTAACTGGCAAAATAATTTTACAGTGGTAACCACTAACCTTATTAAGATGCTACTGAAACAAACTCTAGTCCAGTTTCCATACTATGAAAATAATAAAAGAAGTGAATCTTCCCAATTAATTGGAGCTAGTTCTACAGAACACTTGAATCAAGCAAAACCTGGTGTTGAGGTAACTTCATGAGAACTCTTAAAATGATTCTGTCACTGTGGAAAACAAATGTAAATTTATTTAAAAAAATAGAATTTCAGAGCCCATACAAAACATTGATTAACTGGGAAAATACAGTCTCTGCATAAAAAAAGTGTCTCTGCATAAAGAATACAGTTGGTGAAATGTGTGAAATGTAGTTTGTACATTTTTGTATTAATGTGTACTGCAGGAAAATACCATAGTTATCAGTATTAAAAAGTTTCATTTTAGATAGAATGCTAATTTAAATTTGATTACTGTATGTACGTGAATGTGGTGTTTTTAGTCAATTATTAATAATATAAAATGTAATTTATTTGTTCCTCTAGGACTGTTCTGCTTCATTATCCAAAACAATGTGGTTTAGCTGTCTTAATTTAAAGAGAAGAATGTTAGATTTTTGACTAAAATCAAAAGCTTTGATTAAAATTGTTTGTATGCATTAACATACACAAAACACTAAATGTAGTGGAACAAAATGTGGTCCCTCCACAAAGCTGAGTAAATATTGTCCAAAACTATTATAAGAGCATGACATTTTTGTTATCCAACTCAATAATGTTTTTAATGTGCCATGTAAACCCTTATTGACCCATTTTGACAGTTTAGGCTGATCTCGTCAAATCGTAGAATGTACATAAGGCTAGGTCTGGTCAGCACTGCAAAGGGACAGACACCTCTAAGGAAAATGAGGTTGCTTCTGCAAGTGGTATAGATGGACCAATATACAATCACTTTATTGGCCATATCCAATTTCTTGCATTAGGTATTCATCTTTTCACATACCCCAGCTTGCTCTCCAAGAGACACACAGACAGGGAGAGAAGCTGGGGGTCAGAGCGCAGGGTCAGTCATTGTACAGCACCCCTGGAGCAGTTGGGGTTAAGGGCCTTGATCAGGGGCCCAACGGAGTAGGATTCCTTTGCCAGCTGTAGGATTTGAACCAGCAACCTTCCAGCCACAGGCACAGATCCTTAGCCACAGAGCCACCACTCCGCCCCCCTGACTTCATGGCATGGTCATGATTGGTTTTCAACTGACATAGTCCTAACTATTTTGTCATAAAATTCCATTGCACTATTTTGGTTGTTAAGGTTTTGGTTGTTAATCCCAGTATCCTGGATAAATTCGTGCTGGGCTTGCACAGTCTGTGCAGTCCAGCTGATCTGTCATGTAGTGGGACCCTTGGAGGATTAGTGCCATGTGTCCCAAATGGGGGAGGAAGTGGATACCATCCTATATATCTGTATGTACTGTATAAACTGTACAGTGGGCTCAAGAATTATTGGCACCCTTGATAAAAATGAACAAAAAAGTTGCTGAAAATAAACACCACAGACACAGACTTATATTTTATGCCCAAGAAATGTGAAAACTGTAGGCTTTTATTCAAATAGTTATTTCAAAACAAATGTTTTTAAATGAGTAAAACTATTTTTTGTTTCTAAAAACATAGGTATCAAACTTATTGGATCCCCTACATTTTTTAAAAGAAAATCTGAAATGAAATTCTGTTTATTTAGATACAACTCACCCCTAAGGAAATGAGCTTTTGGGCTTCCTGTTTTGCTAGGGTATAAAAAAAAGATGACACAAATGAGAAAATCTTTTGTCATCCATCACCACGGGGAAGGACAAAGAACTGACAAATAAAAGAGGCAAATGTCTGCATGTCTATTTCATTAAATGCCTATATAAATACAAGGAATTATCATTATAGATGGGTACTATTATTATATTCACACATGTGTGATATGTCTTTGTACAGTGTACATAAGTTGGGAGTTGATATGATGCTCTCATTAGACTGTCTCGTTTAAAGTGTTTATTGCAGGAGCTCTGAGCACTGCCAAATGAATGGATTAACTCGCTCTGGTGAATCCAACTTATTTTGAACAGAGCTACGGTCCCTGAGGGGAAATCCTAAGCAAATGAGTTTATGTGTTTCCCCACCTTATTTCCTCTGGCATGATTGTTTCCTGATGGGCTGACTAAGGGCAAGATGTAGCAGAGAGTGTGTGGAACAGGAGTGAGGCAGATGTTCTTTCTGTCTCTGGAGGAAGTGGTTCTACAGTATGTAAAATGCTTGATGCTTCAGCAGTTTTTGGCGAGATTTTTTGATAGATTCATGGCTTAATTTTCAACCAAAGTTTAAAATTGAAGGGGTTAAATGCATGTATTTGGCAGAGAAACATTTGATATTCTAGAATCCCTTAGAGGCTTTTTCAGCTTGTTTTTGGGAAGCTTTTTTAACTGCTGAAAAGCAGCCTCCCCTGAGGCATTAACTGTATTAATGAATGAGTGGATTTATTGCTGAATCATTTCTAACCTTTGAAATTAAGACGGCTTTCATGTGCTTACTAGTGTGAATTGCAAGTGGAAGTTTTCTCTTAATGTGTCCTTAGCCTGGAGGGATTAATCATGAAGAGTAACATTACAGCCCTTCCTAGTGTAGGTAGCTTGCTTGGCTGTTTCCTGTAGAGCCTTAGAGGTCTGTCCACAACTATAACTCCTCCCCTGCCTAATTAGTAGGATGAATCTGGAGATGCCAAGTTGGCACATGTTGACTGAAGTGCTGTTTTATATAGACACTTAGACACTTTAGGCCTGCGCTTGCTAAGGTCTGCTATGTAGGAGACTCACGATAGCTGAGTAATTATCAACAGAAAGTTTCTAAAGCGCACGTGAAATTGGAACGGAGCAAGGACAGCTTTGGGAAAAGCTGGCCTTCAAGAAAGCATACCCCTTGTCCCTTGGATGAATGTCACTTACAAGGAGATTATATATAAAGCTGAATAAAATAAAGAAAAACAACTTATATTTAAATTAGCACATTGATAGGGCCGGTGCGGTGGCTCTGTGGCTAAAGGTTTGCTGGTTCGTATTCCACGGCCAGCAGAGGAGGCCCTTAACCCCAACTGCTCCAGGGTCGCTGTATAAATGGCTGACCCTGTGCTCTGACCCCCAGCTTCTCTCCCTGTCTGTGTGTCTCATGGAGAAGAAGCTGGGGTCTGCGAAAAGACAAATTCCTAATACAAGAAATTGTATATGGCTAATAAAGTGCTCTTATCTTAATAGAAGAAAATTGTACATTGTAGAGTGTATAATGATATAAGCTTTGGTATAATTTACTATGGTGTGTTTGCTGCAGCTTGACAATATTTGTTGATCCTTGCTATACTGTGTTTGTGCATACTTCTTTCCAAAATGCACTATTAGTGAATCTGTAACATAAAACTTTTTCAAAAAGCAATATGACCCAAAGTTGGTAAAACTTTCAACATCAGATTTAAAGCTGTTATTTAAAGGTCTGTCTTTTTAAAACTGAAGCAATCAAAACATTTCATAATCAGCTCATGCACTAAAGATTTTTTTTTCTGATGAGAATCCAAAGCTCTTTGAGTGATGTCAGACTGAGAATCTCTCTTAAAAGTAATTTGTTGTGACTGTTTTTGTACTTAAATTATATATAATAAAAGTATGGTAGCAGTTACATGTGTACTTCTCTGTGGTCTAACAGGTCTGCTTAATTCAATTATATAATTGTTTGCAGAAGTTGTTGGACACCTAAAAAACACACTGCGAGTAAAAGGGTAAAAAATAGATAAACTAGTAAATTGTACATCCATGACTACAGTGTGTTACTAAAATATTGTGAAACAAGACTGAGCCATAAAGGTTTAAAAATAAAGTGCAGGCCTTAGTCCTCATTCAGCAACAATTCAATCCTGGCAACATTCCTGAAACCTGACACTAAATTTGTAGTTCTGCTTGTCCTCTAAACGTGGCAATTTAGTAAGTTTTTTTTTATTCTTCTATCTTTATATTCTGTGTAGTTGCAGTATCCTTCCATATCACAATTAAAATTTTTATACTACACAATAAAGATTTTTGTCATGGTTTTTAAAAAAAAGTATAATTATGGCAAAGCTTGGGACCATAATGGACTGTTGCCTAAACAATGTATCTCTATTGGCTGTCACATTTAATGTATACATGTGTATATATATATTTTAATAGGCTATAACGTGCATTGGTTGACTTGCATTCTTCAAATTATTGTCCTCGTTTTTTTTTTGCCAGGTCAGTATTTGAAGAGACGTTGTGGAAAAGAATTCTTGATTACTGCCTTCAGAATGCTCCTCTTCCTTATCCCAGCTCTGCTTGTAGTGAGAGTCTTTGGTGAGTTCTGTCAGATCTAATTATTCTTTAAAAAACAGACCTTTTAGAAAGCACAATCTGAACGTTCAGATATAAGGAGTTCATTTTAAAGATGTTTGTATTTCAAGTGTTACTTTGTGTTAAATATTTATAAATCTAGGGCCTGTTTTTGGTCCCTGGCCAAAGTACTGGTCCCAGGATAAATATCCCTGTGGCTGTTTATCAACTTCAAAGTCGTGGAGTGTTATTGACTTTGCAACGGGATTTTGGCACCATGCTTTGCAGAGGGTTTCAGTGCTTGCAACAGTTGCTGAATCAACTTTGAGGCATGGGCTTTTTAACATTTCTTACTAAAGAGATTTTTATGATGGCATAAAATGCATTAGTTTCTTGCATTTGATGACACCCATCTGGAGGGGGCTGTTTTAAGCACGGCCTGCAGGGCAGTTCATTCTAGAGATTATAGGGGGCATCAAGACATAACTTTATGCCCTAGTTTATTAGCTTTTCCAGCTTATAACATTTCTAAGAGAACATGCAATACTTATAATGTTAAATGGTCATGATACAGTCTCCCAACCTGAATTTCTGTAGGTTACAAAGAATTTGGAAGTTTGGGTTGTATACTGTATACAGTACAGGGCATTAGAATGTCTTCTAAGACATTCTTCTAAGACATAAGACATTCTAAGACATTATGTCTTCTAAGACATAAGTAACAAATATATTATTCACTCATTTCACAGTTCTTTAATTTCCCCCCTTTAAGCTTAACTTTAACTTTTTAAAGCCTTTGAAACAAATAGTTCTTTTATAAAGCAAGACTTTCTACTTTCTTCTAGGATGAAATTCAATTTAAGCTTATTATTCTCTATCAGTGGTACTAAGTCTAATTTGAATTTACTCACCAGAGTGTCTTTTATAGACAATTGGAGGCAAGCTGAGCGTAGATTCACTTGCAATAAACCATGCATAATAAAACCTCAATTGTTGAAAACTGCTTAATCACTTGAACACATTAAGTATTGCAATTAATGGTACAATGGAAATAATTAAAAACCAGGTACGTTATGATTATTCCAATGATCCCTTAAAAGGAAAACTTAGACACTTAAACATTCATGTCTGCAATGTATGGTTTTTATAACCGCACTATAGTGCCATATGCTGCATAAACAGAGTTTCTGTGGAGTTAGTGGTCTGTAATTAATGGCATGAAATACCCCTGATTGGTGCTTTAAATTCAGTAGATGAAAAAATGGCATTCTCCATTAAATAGCCTTATTAACCAGTGTAACACCCCTGGTTTGTGACTTACTAAATGTGAACCTTGGATTGCTTTTCATGGGTGCTTGTGATTTGTATTGAAATTGAAGGCGCTTTTTATGAAAGACCACTGAAAGAAAGCTGCTAAAATGAAATATTTGTTTCTTTTACGATTGCCTTCCTTACCATAATTTTCCATTTAAATAACACTGAAATCATTAGGATCCTGTGGAGTGATGGACCTTTACGTGTAATTAAGAACATACCGTTCTGTTTCAGATTTGATTTTTGTTGAATACCTCTGTTTTATTTAGGTTTAAATGGCATTACTCAGGAAATAATAAAATGTCCATCGCATAGCAATTTAGTCCATTGTAGGTTTTTATGAGCTGTAGAGCTTGTACAAAAAATTCCTGAAGCTCATAAAACCTGAAATGGTTCAAATTTCTATGCAAAGGATGTCTTTATGCTGTGTATTATACAATTAAAGTAATGGGACAATGTACAGACATAAGAAGCTTCACAATTTTCTCTGATTCTGTCAAGGTACAGTAGGCTGCTACAGTTCCTTAACTTCTAGTTTAGGAAAAGGCTGCATTTGCTGGGTCGAAAAACAAAACCGTCATTTGTCTTAAAGCAACCCTAGACTCATGACCAGATACTGCTGTCTTACACAGTAGAATCCAGCAAACCTTGCTGTATTAATGAGTAACAAGATATGTATGTAAAAAATAGGTTATTGTAAATCAACTTTGGATAAACCAACTAAATTAATACCAGTAACGTTATATTGATAGGAGCATGCAATGCCAAGCTGGTCTGAAAGTGTTCTGTTATATGCTGTTATATGATTAGATGGTGACCCTGTTATTTTAAATTCATAGCCCCTGTGTTGTGGTTACCTCTTTCTCCCCAGATCCTATTGTCTGTCTCTAGTCCATCTTTTCTTAATGTTCTCACCAGCCTCAGAGCTAGTACCTTATCTCTGTTCTGTGGCTGGCAACCTTACTACGTATCCTCACGGGAGTTCAGTAACGTGTTATAGGCAGGACATGGAACAATCCCAGATAACATTCTTGCCAATGCCAAATGAGCAATACATGACAGGGGTTCTTTTGTTATTGTGTTACTTAAAAGTCGCCTCCAGGTACAGATTCATGTTCTAGCTCTTGTACTGCACATAGACTTACTACTGTATTTTGGTTCTAGGGGAAAAGAGAAGGTTATGTAGTTTATTTATATAAACTTGTGGATGTTACGAGGTGGGATGTTACAAGGGTTGTCGGAGAGTTGTAGTCTAACTGAATGGGCTATGTTGAGATTAATCTTTTTTAATGATAGAATTTTCTGTCTTGCTGTCTATCGTATAAACATACTGTATTTCATATGTTTTATAAGCATGGAAACGTTTGACAATACAACTAAAGCATCATATTCTGAAAATCAGTAAAGGGGAAATTGGGAAGTATATTAACCTCACATTGGCTTAGATCTCGAATCATTTATCAGCGGAATTTATGAGCCTTGTGAATGTTTTTGTTCTTTTGCTCTCCGAATTGTCAGTTTCTCCATCCAAATCTTAAAAGCACCAAAGATATATTGGCAAGAAAATTTAACCAGCAATACATATTCATTTTGCCTCACTCTCCATAGGTCTAAACCAGAATTAAAATGAATAAAAAAGTACATTAGCTTGCCTTACGAAACAGAGCAGCTTTAGAATGTTCTAGACAAAAAAGTTACATGAAAACCAAAGAATCTTTTGTCTTTATGTCATTACTTTTTTAATATCTCATAGGAAAATAACGAAGTGATTACATGTACCCATACACTTTTTTATTTTTTAAGTAAATTAAATAAAGGGACAGGGGAAAAGTAGTGAAGTTTTGTTTTTGCACATGGACACAGATACTTAAATAATTAAACAGGATGAATAAAAAAGTAAATGTCTATGAATATTTCTAGTATTTTTAAAATAAAAGTAGTTTTTCCCTGAACTGTAGAAAAACACTAGTTAACCACAAGGGGGAAGTATAAGATCATTTTTGTACCTTCTCCACTGAACAGAATATCCAATATATGTGTGATTTATATTTACTTTGCTAAGTCAAGCCATCTAGCAGTTTGCTATCATGTACAAACTAAGGCATGAGGTCATTACTGTGTAGCTATTATTAAGGGTTATGGAAGTGTGCTGTACTAACATTTATTTAGCTGCAGTCCTGCATTCTCTTTGTCTGGCATGATGGGACTCTAAAAATGTATTCTCTTCAGAAGAGGGAGGTATTAAAAATGTGCCTTGCAGTTCAGCTGTCAAAGGACAGGACTGTGTTGAATAATAATTGCAGGATATTTATGTGGTGCATGAAAAATGATGTTGTCATTGCTTGCTTGCCTGATGAATTAAGGGTTCCTTTGTTTACTGATAACTGTATGTCTTATTGCCAATGTATCAAGCACCCCTTGGTGGCAAATTACATATGACAGAGACTCATCAAATGAATAAGTATGCTCTTGAGCGCTTCTTGCACATGTTAACCCTTTATGTATTAACAGTACTTAGAAAAAGCACTATGTAGATTGCATATACTGTTTCTATATAAGCTTAGATTCTAATGTCAATGTCTGCTAGACCCAATGCATTGCATATGTAGCATTTTTAAAAATTTGGTCCTTAAGGGTTGTAATGTGCATTTAAAATATTTTGGGGAGCATCCTAATGTAAATCAAAAGCAAAATGAATCGATGAACAGTGTGTTGTGAATTACCTGTCATCCCTAAGAGAACGGCATGAAAGCTTATCCTTCCTCACAATGAGTTTTAAAAATGAGTTTATTTTATGCTGATGGTGAGGTACATGGCAATGTCTCTTATGCACTTAAAGAGAAGATGACCTATAAATACAATGCAGAGATTGAAATTGTCTGGAGCATTAATTCTCTTCAGTTTCCTGTATTGTTTGTTCAAGAGAGCACCTACTGACATTAACATCTCATAAATGCAGAGGTTTTGAAGGACAGAATTGTAGGGAAGCTAGTATATATTAAGGCATTTCTACCATTTTCTACCAATTAAGGCATTTTCTTACAAAGATGGTGGTCTAGCAGCATAATATCCACTCAACATTCAACATTTACATGACAGTTTTTAACACTTCATCTGCTGACACTTGAGAGAAAATTGAATACTTTATATATACAAACCTACCTAAAGCTATGTTTTTAAAATTATATCTTTGGAGGCCTTCATTTTTCGGAGTTCTTAAATCTTAGATAATAAGAAAATGAAATAAAGTACCAGAGCACTGTGAGGATAAAGTTTGTTTTTTAAAATCTGCATTCAGATAGTACTAAACAGGTTTATTACATGTGCAAATAAGAAAGACGTATCTTTTCAAAGTACTTTAGACAGCATTGGGGTTTTTTATGCACAATGGAATGATATCATTTAAAAAAATAATATCAAGAAAAAATATAGAAGGTTTGGTTTCATTATATCTCATAGATCAAGATCTGTATAAATTTATTTTCAATTAAGTCTTGGAAATGCAGTTTTAGGGTCAGTAGGTCATTACAGAAAACCCAGGGAAAACATGTATGAAAAAGGGGTATGGATTGGAATAACAGGAATGTAGCAGTTGCCAGCTGGATTGGGAGGTGAAAGAATGAATGCAGAGTCCACAGTGCATTAAGGTTTGTAATACAGCCTATCAACACATAAGAATTAACAGAAAATCTTCTACTGTACCTATGGTG